TCATTCGTTTCGAGCATATGTATTTTTGATTTAAATACCGCTAGATTCTGGAAATCAACCACTGTGCGACGCCCGGGTACCTCATCGCTCCCGAACTTCGCCAAGACGCAGCTACTACAACGACCCTCGCACACCCAGCCCCGCACAAAGGACGTGCCAGCAATTACATAGTTATCACGAGATGCCCGTAATTACAGGTTTTGTGTTAGTACAAAATTATTAAACACTTACGAAACGTTCTAGTAAATCATCAAGAAAGAAAGTGGTCATTGTATTGCATGCAAATTGTAATTTTTCTTTTTGTGTGTAATTTAAAATTCACATAAAAAAGTGTCTAACATTGTAGTAGTAGTTGGAGCAAGAATTTCAGAAATAAATGTGTGCTCCCTTCAGGAACTACATTGAAGGAACTTTTTGCAATTTTATTCAGTAGAGTAAGTTGAGCACATCTGATACCAATCACATGGAAAATTTAACTCTGAGAGACCCAGATCCTGAAGATAAGTCTCGGCACCATAGGAAGTTATTCCTTAGAAATCTTCAGCTGCTGTTGAAGATTGGTGTTGAAGGTAGTTGTTCGCAACTCCTGCTGAGCACACTTGACACTGTCCCTGTCAGAGTGATCGTTACAATACTGAATATACACATGTACACAATAACAAAAATGAATCCCTTGCAATTATAATTGTGAATATTGAACAATAAATTTAAAGAACTTTACAGTATTCATTTATTTTTGTTGCATTATGTATAAATACATCTGACTTCATATAAATTATGGTAAATAATAATTATAACTATATAGACACAATGTTCTTACACAGTATATATTGTCTGAAGTTTTCTTTCACCAAGTCCTTTAGCCACTATTCCAGACATAAGTTTACCCCCAGAATTATTTGGATATTGTACTACTCAATGACAGGAACATATGTTCAGCTAGTCATTACATTATAAAAGCATAAAAATATGGTTATTACAATACATCTAAATTAAATTATGGAATCACTCTCAATGTGCTTTGAAAGGGACAATAAAATTATCAAAACATAACAAGAGGAATGTATCCTTAATGGCAAACATGAAGCATGCTCTAAAATGAACACCATTCAGAAACATACTATTATCAATCACATGTGCCAAGGGTCACTACAATAATCAACCAATCTGCATTTATCAGGTACACAGACTAAAATCATTAATTCCTCAACTACCCACAACCACAGTTTTTTTTATTACAAAGCTAGGAAGAAGGGCTACTAAAGCAAATCCAGCTAATTTTATCACAGTCTGGAAGTTAAAAATGAGGTCTAATGATCGAAGCGAGGCCAGCATTTCCCCAGCTTGAACGCACATAAAGTTGTAAGGCATCAGACCTGCAAAAAGCATTCAGCAAATGATCATGATTACAACTCTATGCAAACATAAAAAGTAGCAGAAATACTTTGATAAAACTTTCTGCAACATGTATAAGTATTTACAAATACTAAATACATACATAATACACATAACAAATAAATATATACTATTTTAGGCTGTACCGAAAAAATAAATTTCAATAGCTTAGTGAAAAAAATGTTAGTTTGCAATGAAAATACATCTGCACCCAGAACCAGTAAATAAAATGCATTTAGGGGTACCGAAAATCCCTTAAACATTTTTTCACTTTTTGAATTACTTTATAGAAACTAAGGAGTACATATAATTGCAATTTTTTTTTTCTATATAGCTGTATTCCACCTATAGTGGCATACATTTGGAGTCTTAGGTGATGCTTTGTCATCAGAACAATGTTATGGAATATAGTGAGCACAACCTCCAAAAAACTCTGAATTCCATTTCATAATTTATGAACAAATTTATAAAATACTTTAATTGCATACTTTGGGGTCACCCATAAATTCCGTAAAGCAAATTTGGAGTATTTTGGAAATTCCTCTCTCCTTGAAACGCACCTGTAATGTGAACTTAAATACCCATTTCATAATTCCGTTGCATCCATTGCATCAACCTACACCATATTTATAAGTAAAAATAAATTATGTAACAGTAAAAAAAAATTAGTAATAATTTCAGTTGTGTTATTTATTAAAATGTATAATAGTAATTAAAGTCAAAATTAGTTGGCAATTCTGGCTGCACGTAAAGAGTGGAATGAATTTTTACCGGAAGGTAGAGCACAAAAGCAAGAAAATTTCTGACAAGTCTTACGCACACAACAGCAGATGGGTGGGAATCACTTCTGCTAATTTAACTGAAAACTAGAATATACTGTAGATCAGTTATTCTAACAGATTCAATTAATCTAACTTTGATAAAAAAATATCATTTAAAAAAAATGTAGCCTCATGAAAAAACTGATGAAGGCTAATAATAATAATAATAATAATAATAATAATAATAATAATAATAATAATAATAATAATAATAACAATAATAATAAATTATTATTAATATTATTATTATATCATCATATTATTATCACCATTATTTTGTTACATTATTATTTTTCCTAATCTGATTTACCACCAAACTTTACACCAATTTCCGTATGTTTCATTTATAAATAAATATTTTATTTAATTATGTATTACTGTCCAACTTTGGAGGTAGCAAATTTTATTTACCTCGTAAAGGTGGTGTTTATGATATACGACTTGCATTAGTTTTATTTATCCAAAATAATATCCTTTAATTCAGAAGCTTTGGAATATCTAGCTCACAGACAAATGTTAGAATTATATAATTAATTGTTTGATTGTTGCAATTTTTTATTTTTAGACATTACAATTTTTATATTAATTTACTAAAACAGTACTCTTTTGTTTGAAAATTAATTATTTATATTTAAGACTATTTAACTTAATTTGTATTTGTATTTTTCCAACTGGCCAAGAAAATTAGTCACTTAATTTTTAAATTTTACAAAATACTGAATTCTTGGCAACTAAACAATTATTAATACTTCACTTTGCCATTTTCTGGTCAGTGGCTACATATGGTATCAGCATGGAGAGGCACTTATGACAAAAACGTAACTCCAATGATGAATGTTCATAAGAAAATTGTAAAAATTATCTGTAAGAAAAATTCTAGGTATCCCTCCAAGAATTTATGTAGGGGAGAAAAAAAAACTGTCAGACTGAAAATGATTTTATACCGAAAAATCAATTTGTTGTAATTATGCATGGAAAAAAATTTCTAGATGACATAATATATTGTGTGTATGAAAGCCTAAAACTATTTGAGTGATACTTTAAAACGACATAATGTACAGAAAATAAAAAACGATGATTGAAGTCATTGAGGAGAGACCTCGTAGATTAATCATGAGAAGAAAAACTCGTACTTCTGATTGTTGCGTTTTTTGATAAATTTTTCTTATTTTTTTCCTTATTCATTTTCTAGTCATTTTTTATTTTCCATGTTTCTATGCTGTATTTGTGAAATAATATGTGAGGAATAATAGATGTAGTCCACCGGAACGATATTATAATTTAATTATCTTGTCCAAGTCTGCGCACAGGCAATAGCCTATGCCTTCAGCAGAGTATCTAAGATACTTTATTATTTCCTGTAGACAATATGTATGTATATATGTACGGTACTTGGAAATATATTCAATATTCAACGATGAAAGATTTTTAATGAAGTCCTCTCCCTCCTATATGCAATTGTCACTAAATTTAAAACACTACAGGCAGAATGTAATATTTAATAATTAAACCATCACTCCTAGCAAAAAGATTGCTACTAAACTTACATCTGATAGGGCTTCTGAAATATGAATTAGGTTTTGGGAATCTCAAATATAATGTATGTACAGAGCCATCATCCTTTTTGAGTTCACAATATGAGAAAGTCAAAATTTTAAAAGTATTAACTTTCTGTACTTATACTGAAATATTTTTCAAATTGTAATTTTTTGACTTTTATTATGCAATTAATTATTTTTAATTTTAACTTACCAATAAGAACAGTAAAGAAGAAGAGATGTAGTGGTATTTGTACTATAGGTGATATCAAATTTAAGAGCCAGTTTGGAGTCATAGGAAACAATCTCAGGAACAGTAAAAAATAGATCATCTGGTGTGAATTTTTCTCCACCTAGAAACATTTTGCAATTATTACAAAAGTAATTTATTGGTACAAAAAGAATTTCAAATGATAGTAGCAACTAAAGCCTAGTTCTTACACAAAAAATACTTTTGAGAATACTTTTGTGCTACAAATTAAGAACATTTAAATGTATTCACTGTCAATTTAAGTAATGTATTCTAATGATATTTTAATACTGATTAAAAGAATTCCACACTTTTCGTTCAATTTGACACCCGCAGGATTTTAAACATTTCTAGCGCTTACTACTACGTGTAGACCTATCTACCCAAACATTACCTAAACTACTGGTAGTTACACCTAATTTATTACATTCATTCTAAGAATATTTTATTTTGTTATTATATAAAAATACACGTAAATTAATTGCAAAAAATTCTTGGCAATCAGCATAACCCTGAAGAAAAAGAAGAGGGGAAAAAAAATCTGTGCATCCATCAATCATCTTTCAAACTGATCAAAATTATGTCAGTATGTCAGTCTCCTAGCATTGTATTCACAACTGAAACAGCAAAACTAAAATTATCAATATGTAAAATAAGAACATTTTTAAGTCATCTAGAGCAGAGCTGTCCACCTGGAAGCCCGCAGGCTGCATGCCATATATTGTGACTTGCAAAATGTTATTGAACAAATGTAAAAGTCCCTTACATTCATGTCAGGTGAGAATATTGTGCCTAGCGCAAGTGCCCTGTCGAGTTCAACCCTCCCTCAATGAAAATTTTGTGAAGTTTAGATTTAAGGAATTTTTTTACTTGCCAATTTAGAAATTTATAATCATCCCAATGTATTAGGCATGGTAGAGCCTGATGTCATATAGTTTCATCCTCCCAACCCCCCCACCTCATATTAGAGCAGCCAAGCAAAGTGCCTCGATCAACAATACGACAATTGGGGAAGTCAAGTGTGGACTGCCAGAGAAACGAAAATATGGCCCACAACCATATTAATGGTTTCAGTTGTGACCCTTGAGGCCTTGCAAGTTCAACACCCCTCATCTAGAGGCATGATTTTATTAACTGTCACTGGCCATCTCATTCTCCAAAAGGTGTCAAAACGAACATCATATTCCAAGCAGTCTCCTAGTACTGCTTTGGAAAATCGTGGTTTAAACGCTAACTAAACTAACAATAGTTAAGAAAAACCAGACAATATTTTAATTACCAAAAATTAATTTTAACTCACCAATTTTTGAAAGTACATCACTTTGTCAGGAAAGTAATGCTCTACCACAGTCCTGGCACAATGCTGTGACAACAAGTAGCAACATGTGGCACCACAAGCAGTTAAAAAGCAACACAAAGGAAATCCTACGTATGTTCCAAAAAGTGCACCCGCCAATACATTCTGAAATATTAAAAATATTAAATTACCAAACAGAGCAAAAAAGATGAAGGAACCATTCAATTAAGAGTGATCTATGATAAAAGAGAATTAAGTACTCTAACTCTTAAGCAACACAGATGATTTTATGCATTTATTATATTTAATACATTTTCCAAAATTTCAATGTGCACTTAAATATCATTATAGCTCTAGCCAAAGTCACCATTTCAATGTTTGCTGTATAGTTGTCAGGGTTACAAAAATAAACGAACTTGTTCATGAATGTGTAATACTGAATAATACATTGTACAAAAAGTCACATATTTCTAATAAGGAAACGAATATTCCTGACAATGTTTTAGCAGGGCTCATATCACAGCAAACTGTTTAATTCCTCAAAAGTTGGCATAATTTTATGAAAAAGAATACCACCTAATACCCGTGAATGGAAATGGCCATGTGAAAGATGTCAAAAACAATATTATACTTGCATATCCTTTCGAAACTAGAGGTGCTACAACAGCATATGCTTCCTCGTCTTTTGTGATGGTTATATAACACTATTTATACCACAATCTCTCTTTGAATAAACATATCTCAGTCATCATTTTTTCTAAAAATGTTTTGAAATCTTAAAAATTTGGAGAGCAAATTAAATGGTTAAAAATTTTTCAGTTAAAATTCCCATTTAGGATGAGGTTTAAGTGTTCTTTAATGTTCTAAAAATAATATTTCCGTTCTACAATTAGGAAACCGGAAAATTACGAAAATTTCAAAAAAATGTACGTTGAGCGGCGAAAGGTGGTAGCTGGCAAGGGGATGGGGCAAGACAGAATACTAACGGAATAGCTAACCCAGATCAAAGAAAATGGAAAACAATTTCGAGAAAGTTTGTACCATTCTATAGCACTAGTTCATCATCAGTGCCCGGCCGTGAATTTTTCTCTGCCGAAAATTTGCAGTTTTTTTTTGCGCAGCATTACGTAACTGTTGCAATCCTACATATATTATTCCATATACACAGGATTGGGTAGTATTTAAATACATTTTGTACATCAAAAACTGTATTTTTCAGTTTTTTGGACTTTTATTTTAACAATGTATTTTAAATACATATAAAAGGTGTATTTAAAAAAACAATTTCTTAAAATACTTTAAATACAGATGAAGATAACAAGGATATTTTATTTTTGTTAGATTCTGCTATGGAATGGACCTCATAAAAGGTAGTGAATGGACTTTTTTTAAAACAAAAATAAATGCTCCTTTCAGGTGGTGAACTTGAATTATCTTCATTTTTAAATGATAAATTTAAACTATTAAAAATGTTGGATAATTATCTGATAATAAACATTTATTCCTTTTAACACTAGTTTATGTTCATCAGTGCCAGTTCAACAACTGCTTTCCTTTGCTTCACCCACTACACCCAAAAGTTTTCACCCACTACAGGTTTATTGTCTGACGATTTGTTTGAAAAACATAATAGTTTTAAAAGGAAATTCCGTTTATTTGTTTTAGACATGTTTTGATAACATTTTGTATTTGGTATGAAAGTGTTGATAAGCATAAGTGATTGTGGTTTCGTGATATTATAAGTAAAAGTGTGTTATATTTGAAAGTTTTTAGTTATTGTTGAGAAATATATGACTGTCAATTACTAATTTATTGTATTTGACTATTACAATATATTGTTGCAATAAAAAAGTGTGGGTACAAAAATATTTTATTTACTGTATTTTGAATATTTGAAGTATTTTAATTAGGTATGTATTTATCAATTCAAAACCTAATGTTTTTTGAGTGTATATTTAAATACTTATTTACAAAGTATTTAAATACTAAATATAAAGCATTTTGCCCAATCCTGCATATGTCCAAATACCACTTTCGTAGCTTTTAGCAAGTTAAAAACGTATACTTTGTACAAATAAGGTTCTGGTCTATCATAAAGAGTGAAGCTCTAGACATCAATAAGCTGATAAAATAGAAATAGAATCTAAATGAAAAGAATAGGAAGAATACTGATGTAACCTCACCAAAAATTACGAATTTTTACCATCATTCTCAAAAAGGTTGTGTGTTGCAATACTAGTAGATTATAAATCACAATATTACATTTATTATTACAATTAATACAAGAAAGTTTATGCTGTTGTTACACTATTAGATGATGACCATGATTGTGAGTGCATACAGGTTTTCAGAATGTATTGGTATTAGAAAAAAATCTTACATTTTGAAAGGTAACACAATGAAAGAAATAAACACAAAAAATTGCAAGCATCACAAAAATTATACTTGCCAGTAATGCAGATCCTGGTATGATAAATGCTTGCTTATACAGGTATGCGCTGCTGAAGAGCACTAATACGTAGAGGGAATTGCTGCTGTAATATAATTGTAAAAGTTCAGCCAGTTGCTGAAGCTCTCTGAGATTGCTGGGAAATCTTAGTCGATTCTGAAAATATTTTCACTTAATAAATATTGAATAAATTACAACACGAACAACCCTGAATTCCAGGTTAACCATAAATGAAACAATTGATATTTCAAACACAATATCATAACTCGGTTTAATATTAGAAGCATTGTATACTTTTTCCTAAAATGTTCAATTCAAAATATTTAAATAATATTTGAAAATATTGAATTTTTGAAAAATTTATTATTTCTTTTATTTAAAAAAATCATTAAAAACTGAACACAACATACAATACAATTTGAACACGTCATTTTGAGTTTCAGTGTCCCTATTCCCTCTCTTTCAATACTTTCAATGCACTTATTTGAATTATGAATATAAGTAGCAACAAGAAATTTTAATACCTAGTAATAGAAACCTTTTCAAAAAGCAAATTAACTATAGATTTTGACTTTCATTCCTTATAGTGCTATAGGTGAAGGAATCTACTCACTGTTTCAAGAACATTGAAAACAATTATTTGTTGGTACTGCTGTTGAAGTAACTAGATTCCTCTCTAAAATTCTACCTAGCACTAGAATTCAAGCAGAGATCATGAAGCTATGTTTATATCCACATGCAAAGCAAGGGGCGATCTCAACATTTGTTCTATGGATCGCGGGAAATAGGAAAAAGACACAGAAAAGATTTTTATTGGGATTAGTGGATTTTCAATAGTTAGTTGTTGATACTGAATGATATGATTATATCGTCGGGTGTAATAATTGTAGATATCTGCATTGAATGAAAAAATCTTTTCATAAGTCAGGTTTGACAAATCTCTGGTTTATAAATGAAGAGCAAGGCAATATATTTTCAAGATCATGGCAAAATTATTTTCCCTAATCAAAAAATTTGGATGAATGGTCTCAACTCAAAACACCATTTTTACCCTTGATCTTCGTAAATATGTCACAAAATTAATACTATATTACAAACTCGAAACATGAAAAATTATTTGTCACAAATAATTTAAGTCACACTAATTCATTACTTAACTTTCAAGTCACTAACCTCTTTTCCTGTTGAAACAGGTGGTGCAAGACATGTCAAAATATATAGGAAGCAACTAGCTGCTAAAACCGTACATGCAACTGATGACACAGATGAAAATACCGATGGCATAGTAACGCAGATACTCTGAAAATTAGAAATGTAGCACATATCCTCAAAGAACAAATGGAATGACAAAATAACAGGGTGAAATGAAGATAAGAATGAGCAAATACACTTATCTTAGATTTGTTACTCAGAGCAACAATACATTAGAACATTACAATAAAGAATAAAGAAACATAACTCAATAACAAATGAAACAAAGTAAACAAAATCAAGTGACTATAGCTGAACTATTAGTAAATATTTACCTCCTTTACACTTTTGATGACACTGCAATAAATAATGACAGCTACATGTAATGCACAACTATATAACGGATCAGCATACCATGTTAAATAGTTGTACTAATGTGAAAGAAAACAATACGACACCTTCTTTTATAACGTCTCCCAATGAAGCGCGCACTCGCAGAGAAAGGCAAGGGCTCAGCCGGGCACTGCGATCTTCCCACATTTCACGTAAAGCAGGCCAGTGTGTAAGGTGCTCCTTTCCGTTCCCAAGCCTGCTCGAGTCGAGATACCGTCATCGCGAGTGAGTGAAGCACTTGTGGCGTGATGCGCGATGCCTTTGCCAGCCAATCACATTGGTAGAATACACTGGCGGCAGAAAAACAGATATACCAAAATAATATCTATACTTCATGAAAACAAGCACTGCAAATCAGACATTTCGATAAGGATTTTCAGGGAAATGTAATGATAATTAATATTAATATTATCATTATGAACACATTGTTATCATCTTTGCTCGTTTTCACTGTAATACAATCTCAATAAATTATTATTATTATTATTATTATTATTATTATTATTATTATTATTATTATTATTATTATTTTACTACTATTGAAAAAAGTATAAAATGTATTTGCCACTCAGATTAAACGCTTTATGATATTTCTGTTGCATGAAGAAATGAATTATGATTCTGTATTGGGGAGAATGTAACTTTTGTTTGAAATAAGAGGCCTCCGTGGTTCTATAGCCCCAGGTGTCTTGGCTTCTTTTTCCCTTGCAATAAAAGACGGAACTCAAATGGTGTGCAAAATCAAACATAAACATTGTAACCAGTTTGGTCACACAAAACCAAAACTCGATATCACTTCAAAAATAAAATAAATAATTCTGAACTTTTCTCATGGAATGACAAATATAATATACGTTCGGAGAAGGGAAACTCAACATCAAATTTCTGCCTGATCGATTGCTGGAGAAATTTAAAGTGGGGTGAAGAAAGTTACTACACGCAAAATAATAAATCAGAAAATGTATATGAAACCGTGAGAACTGAAACTGTAAATGCAATGTTTCCTTGTCATGGAAATCCCGAATAAATCTAGAGTGGTAGACAATCAGTGGCAGATCCAGAAAGTATTTCACGGGAGGCCTAGTAGTAGATATAAATATTTTTACTTTCCCTTGTACATGTATACGGGAATAAAAGGAAAGGAAAGTTATGTACTGCTGTTCGAAAAAACCGGCAGATTTTCGGCAGAAAAAAATTAATTGCCTAGCCCTGATAACGAAAAAGTGGATAAATCCAGTTGCTAAATTAAGAAACAAATCCTCTAACATGTGGTTTGACCATAATCCTAGTTTTGTAGGTCATTGATACCGAAAAACCATTAGCGCCTAAAACCAACACCCGATTTTTCGAAATTGAAGAAATCTTTATCAATATGGTTCGAGTCTCATCTGAATTTTCGAAAATTGTTAAATATGATTTTTTTGCTGTGTCTTCCTACAACTACAAAATTGAAGATAGAAAGTTTTCCTTCAAATAAAATTTGTTCTCCATGAGTTCTTTCATTTATGTCAGGTACATTTTTTAAAAGTTTTTCAGACAGCTGCGTGACTGAACATGCTGACTTGAAAGTTTCATCGAATCATTGCTGATAACGAAAATATTAATACAGGTAAAACAAAACAAACCTAACAAAACACGTCATCACTCTTCACTGTACATCCACACCCCTCCACAATTACCTACAAAGCACTTGTAGACCACGGCAAAACGTTAAATGAATGTTTTCACTACACGCAAATGAAACAATCTTCATCGGTAATCAAAAATGTAAATTTCCTAATAATGTAATATTGTAAAACAGATTTTGATCGCTTATGACCATAAAGTTGCACAGGGATTTAAAATAAAATAAATAAATAAAATGTTCATCGGTATCAATACACTATGTGATCAAAAGATCCGGACACGACCAAAATGGTGTTATGGTGTGGTCATTTTCCATGGATGGAGCTTGCACCCCTTATTGTTTTGTGTGGTACTATAGGTCAACGTTGCTGTTTTAGACACTTTCTTGCTTCCCAATGTGGAAGAGAAATTCGGGGATGGCGATTGCATCTTTCAACACGATCGAGCACCTGTTCATACTGCACGGCCTGTGTAAGAGTTGTTAAAAGACAATAACATCCCTGTAATGGACTGGCCTGCTCAGAGTTCTGCCTTGAATCCCATCGAAACACCTTTGGGATGTTTTGGAACGCCGACTTCGTGCTAGGTCTCACCAACCTACATCGATACCTCTCCTTAATGTAGCACTCTGAAGAATGGGCTGCCATTCCTCAAGAAACCTTCCAACACATGATTGAAAGAATGCCTGCGAGTTTGGAAGCAGTCATCAAGGCTAAGAGTGGGCCAACACCCTATTGAATTCCAGCATTACCGATGAACCGCCACGAACTGGTAAGTCATTTTCAGTCATGTGTCCGGATAATTTTGATCACATATCATTTGTTCTAGTTGTTGCTGGGAGAGTGAATCTTGAATTAATAATTATGCAAATAAATCTCGTCACAGAAATTGTAAATAGTATAAGATAGAGCCTTCTCAGCGTCACGTCACAAAGATAGCCACTATCAGAGAGTACATATTGGTATGTATCGCCAAGGATTGCAATGTAATTGGCATTGGTAATGTCGATAAGTGCTAAACCAACAAAAAAATAATAGAATGTCCATAATATATCACCCTATAGATTACGGTGTGAGGAACGTTTCTTTGAAGACTTTATCCTCAAAATGTTAGTAAGGCCCTATAACGCTTCATTTAGGAGTTATTTAACCACTATTGGGTAACTGAGTGCTGCGGGTTGCATTTGGCATGAATATTTTGATTTTTTGTTTAAAGAAATCCGTCACATTTTAAAAGGCAAATGCAATTCGTCACATCTCCGTGAAATCCACTTTCTTTAGAGGTCTCATTTATAGAGATCAGTTTCGTGTGAAAGCCGCAAAAGGTATGTATACTACTGAAACAATGGAGGCTACAGGAGGCAATGATATAAACAACAGGGTTTAATGTATGTGTATATTTCGCGAATGTTCATTCCCGCCTGAGATATGGCATAATATTCTGGGGAAGTACATCATATAGCTTCCAGACTTTTAGAGTACAAAAAAGAATTGTAAGAATAATAAGCAAATCCCACCCACGTAATTCTTGTTATACTATCTTTATTAATCTAGATATTTTACCATTATCTTGTCTCTTAATATATGAATCAGTGGTTTTTGTCAAAAATGGCGGGAATATGTTTTCAGCAAACGCCGATAACTGCAACACTCGACGAAGTTATCATATTCATCAAGTAAGAGTATCAAGAGCTCACTACAAAATTCACATATAATACATGTACATTATTTTACAAAACCTTGCCTGATGACATTAAACGATTAAATTCCTTACAAAAGTTAAGGTCAAAATTAAAAGCTTTTCTTCTGCACAACTGTTTCTATACAATTAGAGACTATACCGAGTGTCCAAAAGGAAATAATATTAATTTTAACAATGACTATTAATGTATTATACATCATTTGGATTGTATAATTGTAAAGAACCTGTAACAAGTATTGTACTTCAGCTTCTGGGTCAATGACCCCATCTCGATCACGTTTTCTTCCAGTTTTCCTGATCCTCGAGCAAATGCTGAGATGGCCCCTTGTTTTGCTTCTGGACATAAATGTAACTTCAAATTAACTTCTCCCCATTGCACGTCACACACAGTTTTTAACTGTTTTTGACGTAAATAAAAAAACAAAAAATAACAAATGTTCCCTTCCGCGTAACAGAAACTACATGTTTCTTAAACAAGTTAACTATTTGATTTGGTGGTACTGCTCAAAAGATAATCGCCATCATCTCCTATATTAGAAGAAAGATATAAGAAATGTGCGCGAATTATATTTCCGTAGGAGTTTGTTTCTCTGTCGAGCAAGGGCGCCTTCTACTACATCTGCCAAGGACAGTGTCAGCCAATATTGAATTTGTTTCTACAAGAGCTTATCATTGCGTCTTTCACTTGTACATATATCTTCATATCTATAATAAACCTTAGTCGCAATGGGCCGCCAATTGTACAAGGGGGGCAGGGACAGGGGGGCAATGCCTTAGCACCAAAGCCAACCTTTTTGTAGTTTTTAAATCATTTATTGGAAATAATTATGATGTAACGATATTATCACATCCAAAGAAATATTTTCATTGTATACTCTTACATTTCTATTTCAAGTTGACTATTAAACACTAGTGGTGCCACCGAATGGCACAAACTTTCCCGTGTTAGTTTTCTATTTCTTTTGGTCTCGGCCAGCTATTCTGACTTCCGACATTATCTTCCCAGCTTCCATCTGTCGTGACCCAAAGTATCTTTCTAAAACTTTTCTCAATTCTTCGGTTTCCTAATAGTAGAATCGAATTATTACTTAAAGAATATTAAAGAAGAGTAAAACCTCGTCCTAAATGGAACTTATGATTGAAATTTACAGCCGATTTTATGAAAATTGTGTTTAATCGTTTCTGTGATGCGAAATTTGCTCTTTTCATAGAAAACTATTGAGTTTTCGAAAAACTTCATTTAAAGTCATTTAAGGCACTTCCAGTCACAAATGCAATGGTTTTTACAAATCCCTGGAAATGTACATATTAAAAAGCGTGAAAGATATTTTAAAAAATTACATTTTTTATTATAAAAAAATAAAAAACACAAATATGAACTATACGTCACATTAAACAATACAATTGCAAACAATACAATATGTTGGGGACATTTGAAGAAATTTGGAGCCATTTCTTAGAAAATGGTTTTTAAGCGTTTCTGAAACTGTGGAATTTTGAGCTCATTTTAACAAAAACTATTGAGTTTTAGAGGAACTTAATCAGCCATTATTTAAAGCACATGTACTCATAAACATAATAATGTGAACATAATAATGTGAACATATTGTCGATAATGTAAATATTAACGACGTGAGAGACAAGTAAAAAAACATTACATTTTTGTAATTTTTGAAGAAAAAAGGTTAGAGGAATATGGTATTTACGTCCTTACCAAAAATTTAAAGAAAAAATTGAAACCTTTTGTGAGAAAATATTGTTTTTGTACTTTTTTAATTATAAATATTACACCCAATATTGTGCTAATTGAAAATTACTAAAATTATCAAAAAACTGTACACGACCTTCATGAACGAATAATTATGGACAACAAATTTCATTCACAGGCAAAATCCCTATCTTCAATTTTCTAGTTGTAGAAAGACTCCGAAAAAATCATACTTTTGAAATTTTCGAAAAT